AAAATATTCTTATATATTGATGATATTCAGTACCTAATTCTTCTATCAGTGATCAATAGTTGTACAGAAACAGAAAATATATTGCATGCTGTAGTGAGAAATAAGACTTTGATGGAAACTTAGGTAAATTGAAACTCTTGTTTCTGGAGCTAATAAATTATGTGGCTTAACTGGTCACTAGTTTCACAAATGTTCATACCCTGTCTCTAGATAGAACTATCTGATGTGAGAACTATTCAGATCGATACCAAAACAGATACAGGAAGCTTTATACGAAGCTGTGGCTGCAGCTAATTTAACCTAGCAGAGCCTAAGTAGGAGCTGGCTTCCAACCTGGTTGGGCAAAGTAGTTAGCTTGAGCCAAAAGATGTAATACATGGGTGAAAGGTTGAGTTTTTAGTGGATTTTCATGCGACCAGAACCTTAAATGAACTTGACATTTATCAGGCATTCTGTGAAAAAACATTACTTTGGTCAATGAGCACTAACTTCATTTCTGGTAAATGTTGACAAACTAAACATGACTTTGTTGTATCAATATTGTGTGCTGAACAAAGGTATTGTATCTTATCTTGGTTTAGGCACATATCTTAGTAATAGGCCGACACTAGAAATTGTCATTCAGTTTTATTTGTGAAATAAATTAAACCATCCATTGCTGACTAGATTGAATCCAAAACAGTATAGTGCACGAATGCACATTGAAAAGTATATGATAATTTTCTTTAATGTGCAAATGATGATTCATGGTGTATTGTGGGTGCAGTTTAGTGCATTATCTTCATCCATTGTTGTGATGGAACCAATGCAAAAGCACACTGTTTCTATTTGAAAAGTAACTTACACTTGTTCAGATAATTATCTGTCCAAGTGCAGGCATTGTACCAGTGATAATCTATAATTACAAATGTACCATTTTTCTAAAATAAAGGAAGTAGGAATGGGAGCACCAAAAAGTAAGGAAATAAGGTAGGAATGGACGTGTTAACATTGCAACACTTGGTAGGTTTTGACATGGTGCTTCCTCAAAGTGAGTGTGACCGTTGTTCCACCCATTCCTACTTCGTGCACTTATTGTAACTTGGTAATTGTTAAAACTAGATGAAAGGTGTATACAGCTAAATTTCTCTGTTGTAAACTTTGTTTCAGTAACTAACTACAGTTACATGTATGTAATCAAATTACGTGACCCTAACGAAATGCACAACATCACAACATCGCAGTGTTTGATATCGGGAAAGAGATAGGAAGCTTCAGTAGTCATACTATGCTTATGGGAAACATTATAGCTATCTGGCTGGTAAGGGGTGGGTCAAAAAATAGTATCAAAACCACTGGTTCTTGAAACTTTGGAATTGGGTTTGTATTTAGAAAAGATTAGCTACTGATAAAACTCAATTCATTTCTATAATTGTATTAAAGTTCAAAGTAAAACACGAATTAGGAATGGGTGGAATGATAGCCTTATCTATTTTGAGGTTGCACCTGTCAAAAACCACCAAGTGTTATAATGTTATCCTGTCCATTCCTACATTGTTCCTTACTTTTTGGTGCTCTCATTCCTACTTCCTGATTTTTTTATTTAAAATAGTTTTATGCATGTCTCATAACTTTTTTGGTATTAAGTCTCGAGAGTGACTGGGCTCTTAACCTATCCTTCTTGTAGCTTTTCTTAGAACTATTTATCGACATTTCCTGATATCTTAGCTGTAGTTTTCTTCCAACTAGCTAGAGTGACAGCCTTTTCATTGGCTAAATAATGGCTAAGGCTTGTTTCGCATATTCACCATTACTGTTTCTAACCTTATCTCTATTCTTGCAGTAATGTTCTCTTCACTGAGACAAAGGCTTTTCATGGTTATCAACTTAAGATTTTCTCTTTTTATCTCATTTGTTTTCTTTAAAGTCATACTTTAAAAATCGCACTGTTTCAAGTACAACATTAGATGTCATAGGTCACGTTTATAGAAAGAAAAATATAGCTGCAAGTAAAAATCAGGTTGGCTCACAAAAAGGTTAAGAGATAAAACTACACAGCGTGGTCACAAGTAAATAGACACCATCTTTTCAGAAAAAAATGAAAATTTTCAGTCATATTCACATGAATTAATATATTTATAATTTAATTAATATCTAGTAGATCTTCCTTTCGCTTCGTGGAGTTCGTTGATCCTTTGGGGCATCATGAGAATCATCTCGTCAATTTTAAATTGTGGGATTTTCGCCCACTCTTGTTTCAAAACTTGGAGTAGATCGCTCTTCGAAGTTGTTTTTTTTTTTTTTTTGTTTCTTGACATGCCTGTTGAGTATGTCCCAGAGGTTTTCGATGGGGTTC